TACAAGCAAGAAGTGAGCAAGCTCAAGTATAATTTGGTAAGCATTCTAGAGGCAGTTTAAAAACTGATTAAAGCTTTTGTCATAACTAATCTTTCCGTCCAGGATGAATGCACGAGGGATAAGAAGGAGAGATTGACCAAAATTGATACGCTGTTGGAAGAGAAGAAGAAGGAGCTTGATGAAGCTTGTCAAATGAATTTGGCAAGGAAGGCTGATATAGAGCAGTTGACGAAAAATTTAGAAAGGAATGTCAGTGAATTGGATTCTCTTCGTTGTGGTTAGTTTTCATCGTTGTGGTTTTTGACGTTTGTATTTTTACATCAGAATTAACCTTCCCAGTGTTATTTTTATAGAATTGGAGGCAAAGAAGGCCGAATGGCAAGAAGAGAAACGAATGTTGCAGGAAAGGTTGACAAAACTTTGCTCTGCCTTCTTGAAAATTTGCTTGCTCAGTTCAAGTGAAGTAATGTTGTTAAATGTGATTAAAACAAACTGTTTTGTTTAACCAGTGCCACTTATTTCTGCTTTGATTGTCTGGAATCTGTTTTTCTTGTATCGTGGTAGTTACAGGTGCTTGACTGTGGAAAGTGATCTTGAATGTGAACGTGATCGAGCTGCGATAAACAAAAAGAACTTCGAAGATGTCCAGACCGGCTTACAGGAGTTGGGTCGAGTTAACCAGAATTTACAGGTATGCTAATTTATGTTTGTTTTTCCCGCACTCATTTCGATTTGGATGTTTTTTTTTTCCTCGCTGTTATCTTTACACCGTCAGCTGAGACTGCTTCGGTTCCAATCTCTTCCCATTGCCTTTTAGGTATGCAAACCGATTCTTCCATTTTGTTGCTAACTTCTCGGTGTTTCTTCAATAAAATTTGAGTAATCAGCCCAGGGTTTGCTGTTTCTGTCTTTTGCTCCTCATTATTATAATATGGTTAGTGCGGCCGTTCCTTCCATTATGCATTTATTCCAGTAACGTCCTTCATGCCAGGCTAAGAAGTGCGGTGTCGCAGTTGATTATGCTACGACGGATTATTATTATTATTTTTTTTTTGCAATAATTTGACGTTATTAGTAGCGGCATATGCTTGAGAGGCACATATCGGCTTTAAAGACTAACATCCATGGTTCCGGCGCTTTTTCTGTATCGTTTCATGCAAAATTCTCAATTTTTCAGATGGATTACGCGAGACAGATGTCACGTAAATGGTTGGATGATTCGGAGGTGACAAACTGCCACGCGTGTAACAAGCAGTTTACACTGACAGTTCGAAAGCATCATTGTCGGCAGTGCGGGCAGATCTTTTGCGCCACATGTTCATCATTCACTGCACAGGTTGCTTCATCCAAGAGTCCAGTTCGTGTATGCAGTGCCTGTAATGAAGAAATTATGCATCGGTAATCCTTATTTTCCTCTTCCGTTGAATGCATTGGAAAAGTAATTTTTTTAGAGGGCATTTTCAGAGCGAAGCACTACTCCTCTATCATATTTTCTAGATTGCCTGATAAGAAAAGCCAGGAAGAAGCGCGCCTCTAGAGCATTTTATATGTTCTGTTCGGTGAATCGCCTAATGTGACAAGTGTGCTGGGGCTATGCCGTTAGTGAAATTTACTTTGTCCACAGATGTTTGGCCACTTTTTTGATTTCTGGATTTCCTCTGCGTTGCATCCCAAAAGGCATGGAAGGGGTGAATTTTTTCGTGAAATCCGTTTACATTCTAAATATTTCCCCCACGTCAAATTTCGAATCAATTATGTCGAAACGTCGAGTGCTGTTCTTTTGTTTCCGTTGTATTTATTGCGATTCTTCAATTCCTGGCGAGCAAATGTTGATACTCGTCTTTTTAAATATTGCAGTCTGTGATACTTAAAAATGTTGCATTACTTAATCTTTGTTTCGTACTCGAATTTATACGTCTTTTAGTTGCGGTTGGACTACTTCAAATGCTTGAACTGTAAAGTGTATATAGCGTGCCGTGTATTTAGCATCTATAAAAGAAATTATCGGTTTTAAATGACGGAAAGGATTTTAGCACTCTGCCTTTTCCAGACCTGTAAGTGAAGTAACGTCCTGGTTCCGAATAAACTTTCCTGGCAACCTTCATGACTGGTAATTTTGAGAATTGCTGCTGTTGTACTTGTACTAGAGTTATTTGCGTGTACCATACTTAAAAGTGCTTTCTGTCCTCTTT